GCAGTACTGAGTAACACTTACCTCTCCTAGCTGATGGGCAGTTGGGAGTAACACTTACCTCTCCTAGCTGATGGGCAGTTGGGAGTAACACTTACCTCTCCTAGCTGATGGGCAGTAATGAGTAACACTTACCTCTCCTAGCTGATCAGCAGTATGGAATAACACCTCTCTTAGCTGATGAGCAGTACTGAGTAACACTTACCTCTCCTAGCTGATGGGCAGTTGGGAGTAACACTTACCTCTCCTAGCTGATGAGCAGTACTGAGTAACACTTACCTCTCCTAGCTGATTGATGGGCAGTATGGAGTAACACCTCTCCTAGCTGATGAGCAGTACGGAGTAACGCTTACCTCTCCTAGCTGATCAGCAGTACGGAGTAACACTTCCCTCTCCTAGCTGATCGGCAGTACGGAGTAACACTTACCTCTCCTAGCTGATCGGCAGTACGGAGTAACACTTACCTCTCCTAGCTGATCGGCAGTACGGAGTAACACTTACCTCTCCTAGCTGATCGGCAGTACGGAGTAACACTTACCTCTCCTAGCTGATCGGCAGTACGGAGTAACACTTACCTCTCCTAGCTGATCGGCAGTACGGAGTAACACTTACCTCTCCTAGCTGATCGGCAGTACGGAGTAACACTTACCTCTCCTAGCTGATCGGCAGTACGGAGTAACACTTACCTCTCCTAGCTGATCGGCAGTACGGAGTAACACTTACCTCTCCTAGCTGATCGGCAGTACGGAGTAACACTTACCTCTCCTAGCTGATCGGCAGTACGGAGTAACACTTACCTCTCCTAGCTGATCGGCAGTACGGAGTAACACTTACCTCTCCTAGCTGATCGGCAGTACGGAGTAACACTTACCTCTCCTAGCTGATCGGCAGTACGGAGTAACACTTACCTCTCCTAGCTGATCGGCAGTACGGAGTAACACTTACCTCTCCTAGCTGATCGGCAGTACGGAGTAACACTTACCTCTCCTAGCTGATCGGCAGTACGGAGTAACACTTACCTCTCCTAGCTGATCGGCAGTACGGAGTAACACTTACCTCTCCTAGCTGATCGGCAGTACGGAGTAACACTTACCTCTCCTAGCTGATCGGCAGTACGGAGTAACACTTACCTCTCCTAGCTGATCGGCAGTACGGAGTAACACTTACCTCTCCTAGCTGATCGGCAGTACGGAGTAACACTTACCTCTCCTAGCTGATCGGCAGTACGGAGTAACACTTACCTCTCCTAGCTGATCGGCAGTACGGAGTAACACTTACCTCTCCTAGCTGATCGGCAGTACGGAGTAACACTTACCTCTCCTAGCTGATCGGCAGTACGGAGTAACACTTACCTCTCCTAGCTGATCGGCAGTACGGAGTAACACTTACCTCTCCTAGCTGATCGGCAGTACGGAGTAACACTTACCTCTCCTAGCTGATCGGCAGTACGGAGTAACACTTACCTCTCCTAGCTGATCGGCAGTACGGAGTAACACTTACCTCTCCTAGCTGATCGGCAGTACGGAGTAACACTTACCTCTCCTAGCTGATCGGCAGTACGGAGTAACACTTACCTCTCCTAGCTGATCGGCAGTACGGAGTAACACTTACCTCTCCTAGCTGATCGGCAGTACGGAGTAACACTTACCTCTCCTAGCTGATCGGCAGTACGGAGTAACACTTACCTCTCCTAGCTGATCGGCAGTACGGAGTAACACTTACCTCTCCTAGCTGATCGGCAGTACGGAGTAACACTTACCTCTCCTAGCTGATCGGCAGTACGGAGTAACACTTACCTCTCCTAGCTGATCGGCAGTACGGAGTAACACTTACCTCTCCTAGCTGATCGGCAGTACTGAGTAACACTTATCTCTCCTAGCTGATGAGCACTATGGAGTAACGCTTACCTCTCCTAGCTGATGAGCAGTATGGAGTAACACTTACCTCTCCTAGCTGATGGGCAGTATGGAGTAACACTTACCTTTCCTAGCTGATGGGCAGTACTGAGTAACACTTACCTCTCCTAGCTGATGGGCAGTACTGAGTAACACTTACCTCTCTTAGCAGATCAGCACTATGGAGTAACATCTCTCTTAGCGGATCAGCAGTACAGAATAACACTTACCTCTCTTAGCGGATCAGCACTACTGAGTAACACTTACCTCTCTTAGCGGATCAGCAGTACTGAGTAACACCTCTCCTAGCGGATCAGCAGTACTGAGTAACACTTACCTCTCCTAGCGGATCAACAGTGCTGAGTAACACTTACCTCTCTTAGCGGATCAGCAGTACGGAATAACACTTACCTCTCTTAGCGGATCAGCAGTTACCTCTCTTCACACATCAGACCAGCCCTCGCCCTGTTTTTAAGGCGTGACTTGGGCAGACCTTGAGTGTGAGCTGGTATGTAGGACACTTATTACTAAGTAGCATAAAATATGGGTTCCTGTATACTTCTAGATTTAATCAAAGAACTTGACCAAATCAAACTGCATTAAGTACATGATGCTTCCAATACTTCGGCCAGAGAATTGCAGTTTTCTGTTCCACCACATGGGGGCACCACTGTACCGCCGACGTGTCACAGGTACAGCGAACTTGGGGCCGCTGTAAATGCCAAGTTCCTTTAGGTTTTCTCCACTTTCGGGATTAGCTGCGGGGTACGAACAACAGCCACGGGCCTTACACTTGATGAACGCATGTTTGGAGAGAGCTTTTTTTTTTTAGTTTTCACAGTGGAATAAAATCAGACTGTTAAGAAGAGCAGTGGATGAGGTAAGATTTCCCCGTGGTCGTGTGTGCCTCATGAGCTTTATCGAGCAACACTGGGGAGGACCGTATGTTACCCGTGTAGCATCCCGGTCTGCTGGACGTGAGGTGCTCAGTCCTGTCCCGGGGAAGGCTGCCCGCCCACGTTCCGTGTTTTCCTGAAGCTGTCCGTGTCCTCCCCTCCCTTTCTTGTCTCCTTTTCTCTCTCTTTTTCTTTCTGTTTTTGAAAGCTGAAAAGATTTTTTAAGCAGAAACTTTTAAAAAATAATTATTTTAATTAACTCTATTTATTATTTAATTGGACCAGAGAGGGGCAGAGAGAGAGAAAGCCGCCAAGTTTGGGACTCGCACTGCGCTCCACCCTGTGGGAGTCCAGCACTCTTAACCACCACGCCACCTGCCGCCCCAGAAACCCAAAAGATTTTGACGAGCAGAGACGTGCCATTGGCCCTTAGTGCCTGTGACTCGACAGGGAAGAGGTGCTGAAGTGACGTTTAATTAATCATGGCACAGCTGCAGGGGGTTTAACCTGCATCAGCGTAGAACGCGGGTTAAAGTGAGTTTTCAATTTCTAATAGTTAAGATACAGTGCTCTCGTTATGCAGGGTTAATTTTCTGCTGCAGTCTGTTTCATCAAGTATTTAGTACAATTTAAATATTAAACCTTATTTTATACTCAGCCCCAGGGAGGAGACAGGAGGGGTAGGAGACAAAGCCTGGCCCTCAGGAGCGTCGAATCTAGAATTAACATCTGTAGGACAACTGTGCGGCGCACCACGGCGTTGCCTGGCTGTCCAAGCGGCTGCTGCCAGCTCCCTTTCCACGTAATGTGGTTGACATCTTACCAAGTTGGATTGTTATCTAAGAGCTTCACTATTTCTCTCCTGGTTCTGTCCCTGCAAATAGCCAAACGTTGCCTCCTCAACTGTGAGTCCTCACC